ATAATCTCAGTAAAATGGTGGTCGTTTATTGAGATTTTTTTCAATGGACTTTTTGGAGGATCCCGAGAAGTTACGTTGAACGGCTTTGTTTCATTTTCCCACATTCGTGCACTTTCACAGATATTAAACAGTTAATAAACCACCATTATTACACATTTAAACCCGAAGAAACACTAAATAGACAAAATAAAACAAATCACACAACTTCAGTCCTCGCGTTCCCGCCAAAAAGTCGTGCATTTTAGGTATAGTGTGTGCGGAAGTACTAGTCACCGCCTGAGGTATGTGAGTGGCATCCCTGCCGGGGGAGGTAGACAAACGTCAAGCTAACTCAGTCAACTCGACTATAATTAATTGAAATTATAAGTTTGTAAACTATTATGATTTTATTGACAAAGACCATTATACTTCTATAATCACAGATTTCTCCAAGACCACACTTTAGACAAATATTAATAAAGACAAACAATATTTGATCTGTTCTCAATTTGACCACAGACTATAAGCAATGAGAAAAGTTTGGCAATATACAACTAATATGCATGCGTTCGTGTGTCAAATACATGATGGCGTGTGTAATGTTTTTTTTAATCGATTTAATGTATTTTTATGTATAATTTAAAAAAATATTAACATTCTGGACTCCTTCTCTATATTCTCTGTAAGTGTAAGAAATTTCATACTCCTCCGTCCGCGCAATTTTCGTAAAAGGGGGTAGGTACAAAGTTTTTGCTTCACGTATTAATATACATATAAGCATAGATATAGCATTGTCACTTCACTAGACACCTGAGACTAAATAAAAAAATCTTTTATTTACATAATGATTCAACACAAGAATTATTAAGGTTGAAATGAAATATATTAGTTTAATAGATTGTTGTCGACTTTGAAAGCTTACGATGTATGCGCAGTGTCTATACGCGCCCTAATTTAGACAGCGCACGTGCAAACCTAGGGATGTTACTTCCACAAGTAAAAATTGAATAGAAAAAGCATCAGCTCATTAAATTAATGGAATAGAGTGTACATTGATGACGATTAAAATCTAAAACAAAATGTTGTATGCTCTTCACCCGATATTTTTGTTTATTAACTAAAGAGTGGATGCCTATTAAGCGATCTGTGTCATTAATATTCAAATTGAAGTTAATGTAGGAAAATTAACTATTATTACAAAAAACTATAATGGCATTTTAATAAAAAAAAATTAAGCTTCAACTTCATCAATAAGCTAAGAAGACAGAAACAAGAAAAAAGAAAAACATCTTTTCTTGATTAATAAAACAGTGCATTTCAACAATTCACATGCTATTAATATTTCATATATTTTATTTTAATATTAATTATATATAGAAAAATAAATGTATATATACTTTTTAAATACTTCATTAAAATATTGGACGCTACTCGTTGCTAACGCTCGCGCTGTACCTGTACAGGTATACTACGCGCATGCATTCGAGAGCCACGCATTCACTCTCGCTCTGTCTCTTTCTAGTATGGTAGCGTTAAACGTTTAACGCAACCTTGTCGAAAGTCGCATTAGAAGTTTCACTTCAAATAAAAAAAGTCGTAAAATAAAGTATTCTGAAGACAAACTCAATCCGGAGCCAGCCCTTATGACTTATGGAACTAACCATTTCGTATTGAAACAATCAATGCAATAAAGTCGAGTGCGCCGGCGGCCGGTAATCCGATTCCAAGCTACCGGCGCGGACTGTATCCGATTTTGCGATTACATTTCAATCTAGATTCTATTCCACATCTAGACCGGCCTTAACGTAATAGTTATTACTCGATCGTCATTATTTGATTGGCTTTTGTTAATTTGATTGGATGCGCGTGCTTTGGATACGTGATGCGGTTTATCCTTTTGATTCAAGCGAGAATTTGCTATTTGTAATGTCGGTAGAAAGTTATTAACACTGCAAGAATGATCTTGAATATATAAAACAAGAGCCTGTAATTAAGTCTGAGCGCCAGTGTGCTCAAAGTCATTACTGTTACTATGTTTTTTTTTTATTGCTTAAATGGGTGGACGAGCTCACAGCTCACCTGCTGTTAAGTGGTTACTGGAGCCCATAGACATCTACGACGTAAATGCGCCACCCACCTTGAGATATAAGTTCTAGGGTCTCAGTATAGTTACGACGGCTGCCCCACCCTACAGACCGAAACGCATAACTGCTTCACGGCAGAAATAGGCAGGGTGGTGGTACCTACCCGTGCGGACTCACAGGAGGTCCTACCACTAGTATGTCAAAGTTATGTGTATGATAATTACTACGTTATATTGTAATATGTATATTGTATTGGTTTAATTATGTCTACTACTCGCTTATACCATAGAAAATACTGTATGTTCGTTACGATAATTTATGTTTTGTTTTCTTTAAATAAAAAGTCTTATATTTTTGTACTCTACTTATACAAATTTACATTGCTATAAAAATATCTATTTAAAAACGGAAAAAGTAACACTTTAATCGAAAGCGGTTATTGTTTATTTTTTTATTAGGCCAAAGAAATTAAATAATTTTAGCGTGAGATCGGTCCTTAATACGTATGCAAACTTTCAAGTTGATCAGTACTTTAGAAGTTTTTGCAAATTACGTTGAAGAATTAAATAGACATTTAGAGATAATATTAATAAAACTGTAATTAATAAGTCCCATTGTACTAAGTATTGTATGAGATTCATTCGAGCATGCAAATTTAAAAGGAATTTTTAATCTCTCACACGTGTCACTATACTTTCATTGTATATGTAAACGAGCGAACTAACTTCACCCAATTAATTGCCAAAACAGCAACAAAACTTCTACGGGCTTAAAATTAAATCACATGATATTGAATGAATGAATGTTGGTGTTGACAGCCCTAGCGCTTCCTTTGAAGGGATTAAGGGCAAGTCCTCGAGGCGCGTTAATTACTAGCGTTCACGTCAATCGTTAAAGGCTCGAACGCCTCTTTTATTTACAGGCCATAATGCCTTTTCAATTGTGGTAAATAACGATATACCTAAGTGTAATTTATCATTACTCGATTAAAATTACTCGGTAATACCTCTAGAGTTCGCAGTTGTTCTAGGAGCGCGATAATTAGGTACGTGTGCGAGACGTGAATTGCGGATGGTAATGAGATATACCTATGATAACAGATATATTGGATATACTTATTATGTATTATAGGATAAGCACGCTCGTATATTCGTATCGATTTAGCAATATTATCGATATTTGTATGTAAACAAAGTTGTATTTGTATTTTAATTGTTTAGAGAAATTTCAAATTAAACGACTAATCTTATTCAAAGGTTAAAGTAAAAATGGCGCGAAAAACAAGAAAAAAAAAACTCTCCTGCAAACGCTCCTGTGACGTAATCCCCAATTAATTGGACCGCTTCGATACGTTCGCTACTAAATTAAACATTTTCCCTTATTTAAAAACGAAATGAAGTCCATTTGAATTCGTTCCGCCGGTAATTACACAGTTTACAACGTGACAAAGCGATCGTTGGCGGCCATTTTGATAAAATGGCGATTCAAAATATCCCAAGGGGTTTTGTTGGACAGAGGCTGAAACTTAAATTGACTCACGTTTGAAACTGAACAAATTAATCAATGCATTAATTACAAGAGTTTTGTTGAATGGCCTATCGAATTAATTTTTACGGTGCGTTTTATTATAACGGATATTAGTTATTATTCGTTGGTTTAATGATTTTAAGCGAATAATAACTTACGGTAGGTACTTTACGTACGTATTTATTTTATAGGTTATAAATATGATTTTAATTACGTATGTATATCATTGACGATTAAGTTTTTGTCTTAATAAGAAATGCTGGAATATATCCATAATATCGACAACAAAATTGTTTTCTTTAGGTTTTAGCATCCTCACTGAGAAATATTTCGACACAAACTCAATCGTAAGATATTAATGTAATTAAAATTGAAAATTAAAAAATACATATGTTTTTTTTATTTTTTTTTATTGCCCTTGTAGGCAGACGAGCATACGGCCCACCTGATGGTGAGTGGTTACCGTCGCCCATGGACTTCAGCAATGCCAGGGGCAGAGCCAAGCCGCTGCCTACCGCAAATATGTACGTAAGTAGCCACAGTATGTTGTTAGTCGCTCAATGTAAGTCGTTTAAATACGATTTAAGTCTACCAAAATACAGCACAAAGATTGAAGAGAAATAGATTTTCAAACGCGACAATTACTAGTCTGTGAAGTCTGTGCTTAGAAAAAAAAGTAATATCCTTTTTACAACTTTTTAAATTGGATCAGCGCCGAGGCTCCGTTTGCTTCGAATGCTGAAAGAGTATTCCGAGTCGAGTTGATAAAAACATTTGGTTCAATGGAAACGTATTAAATTGCATTTTACTGTCGCGAACGGACGATATTTCGGGTAGGTTGCGTGCTGCGAGATTCACAAACCTTTTTTTTATTTTATTTTTTGTGAAGGAAAGATTACTGGTGTGACCCGGTGGCCTTTCCATTTTTACCAAGATAGGTCATTGTTATTGCGCTGCCTTGTCCGCTCACGGCTTCTCGGGTCTTAAATTGTTTCCGAATTCAACAGACCACAATTAATGTCGCCTTGGACCTTGTGACATTAGAATCGAGACCTTAAATATATTATCTAAACCGCCACAAATAACGTAGGAAGGAATATCAATCCATGAAATTGAAATCATAGCAAAGTAGTTATTAATAGTTTAGTAAGTACTTTATGGAAACGACTAACCTAAACAATATCTCGGATACATGTAAGGCTTTCAATTCATGTGTGTTGAAAGGTCGATATGGCGATTTCTCGTCGCGATGTCATGGCTCCCAGTTTGGAGGGGCAGAATAATCTTTATTCCAATTTAACCATCCCATGTTTTGAAATAGGCACGAATATCCGCGTTGCAAAATGACCGCCTAATACCACATGGACATTCTCTGTTACTTGCGCACCTGTCGAACTAGCTGATACTTACCACGTTCCTCTGCTGGTCATCTTCAGTGGTTTCGATGTCGACGCTTTCGTCACTGTCTCGGTCGCTCTTCGGGGACTCCGGAGAACGCAGCGGAGTCCGGACCGGCGATCGACTGCGGCTCGGCGATGTGTGCACCGGCGACCTGCTAACAACACTGTATGTAGATTCCATCGATGTATGCGCCTTAGAGTAGACATCTGCCGTTATTGCTTGACCAGATCGGAGAAAGCTATAGTGAATAACACCATGCTGAGACCACCAAACAGTTACCATTACCTTTTTATTGGTAAACTTTGCTTTAGGACACTGTTGCGGCGCTTTGCATTTTTCGCTTACGGTTATCGTAAAGAATCCTCTTTTCATCACATGTCACAATTCGATCCAATATCCCTTCATTTCTGTATCAACTCAACAAAGCAACACAAGTTTCAACACGAGTTTCTTTCTGCAGATCAGTCAAATCATGAGGCACCCATTTTTCATATTTTTTTATTTTATAGATTTGACGCAAATGAGTCAATATCGTTGATAAGGTAAAGTTAAACCATGACGCTAATTCCTGGGTAGTTTGGCTCGGATTGGCTTTCACCGTCTCCTTCAATTCATTATTATTCACATGTGTGGGCGGTCTTCCAGGTGGTTCTTTCTTCAAATCGAAATATCCATCACGACAGCGTTTAAACCAAAATCGCACAGTGCCTTCATTGGCAGTCTCCTCTCCAAGCGCAACATTGATATTGCGAGCTGTTTCTGCAGAGCTAGCTAGCTAGAGCTAGCTCCGCGTCGGAACTCGTATTCAAAAATCACTCGAAATTTCAAAGTATCCATCTTTCTTGTCTAAGCTGAATAAAAAAAAAGAACTGAAAATTAATAATCGAATGTTGCACATTTTTTTAAAGAAGAACCTCATTGGTACCATTTAGAAAAAGTTTCACTCAAAAATCTCAAACCATGAAGGTTCTACGAGTATGTCGATTCGAAGTACCTATTACAATAAAATGGCAGTGACATTGTGATCTTCATCCAACGATGCAATCAGAATAATACTCACCTATTTGGAGACCTAACGGGTGATCTAGCGGGGGACAGCTGTGGTGATTCAAGTCGACGCACTGGTCGAAACGCCCGTGGCTCCTCCATGGGACCAACGCTGCTTAAAGCCGTCAGAGCTCCTGATAGAACAAAAAACTGGTCAATTAACGGTGATACAAAGCATTTTGGAGTAGAGTATTCCTCTAAATTTATCAAATCTGTTTAAAATTCCAACAAGATCAGATTTAGGATTAGGAATAGTTGTACGTACGGTAACAGAATTAGGAGTTGATATGGTTAATCCTACTAAAACTAAGGACTTAGATGCACTATGACCAAACAGTATATTTGTAGGAAAATAAGATAGAAACACTCAATAAGCATGAGCGTGTTACCTGGCGACCACAGTGTGGGTTTCAGCCAAGGTATGGCGTAAGGGAGGGGCAGTCTGGCTCCCCAGACGTAGTCAGCTAGTCTAGGCACCGGAGCATGAGCGCTTGGTGGACTGACTGTCGGCCTTTTGGCTTCGTTGCTGCTATCAGATTCCGGCCTGCGAACGAACACTCTCCTGAGGCACGATTTAAGGCTGAACAGATTAAAGTGATTATTTACGTACTTTTTCTTAGGATAACATATAAGAGTTCAACACAATATTCTTCTATGTTTGTGAAGCGTTTTTGACGTGACACTGTCTTATAATTCGATGGAGCCGGCTGCACGCACGAAAAAATGACTCATTCGGCGTTACCTCGCTCTGAGGCGTATTTTCTTAGGACGTTGTCACGTTCAACTATCGTCAGTAAACCCACTTTACAGAGAACCGATTTTTTTCTTTGTTTATTAAGTATCTATTTACGTGCTTCAGTGTTATTTAATAAATATTTTTTGGAAATAACTAGTTGATTGTTTTCAAAATGTATTATACAATAAATGTACCTAATGATTCTATATCGTAATGAGCGTGGATTTTTTTTTATGTTTGCGTTATTACTGGTGACCTCTCCAGTTTCACCAGATAATTTCATATTAGTGCTTTCATTAGAAAGAATTATTCCAATTTGAGAGTACTGCGAGGTGAAGAAGTTTATCTCTCTACAAATATTGGGAGGGAGAACATAAACTCGTTCCCCGAAAAATACATTATCTATACCAAGAGAGAATATCTCTTAAAGGCAAGTCTCTTCTGAATAAGTGGAACTTATTAGATGTTACTTTTACTTCTTAGTCTTATCCCACATTATGCGGTGTAGCATGTCCTCTTTTCACGCTTCATAAGGATTTAGCATGAGTTTTACGACCAGCCGCCAGTCCGGCGTTAACAAAGCTGCCGACGCAAAGCTGTCTTGTATTTATTTTTAATTACATTTCACAATTTTGTATGCTTTTGTACAAAAAATGTTTTTACATCGTTACATCTCAAACTCAAACAATTACATCGTCTCAAACTTTATCGTCTGTTTGTTGCATGTCGCGTGACGGTCGGCCGCGGTGTAGGGATAAAGTGAAAGGCGCTCGTTAGATCAGCTAAGGCCAATATGGCGGCGCCTATAGTTCGCAACAGCTGACCGTGTAAGACTATTACTCATTTGTGACAGTGCTCCACGCTATTTTGTTTGTTTTTATCAGTGCTGAATGTCTATAATGTGAAAAAAGTTTCTCTTTTACCGTGGTTTCATAAAACCACACAATACTTTTTATTTTTAAGCTTAGACTTACCTAGCTGCAGACAGCATTCTCTTCCTGGTGCCCCCATTAAACATAGCTTTGACATCTTCCCAAGCGTGTACCACTTCGTCTGGTGGGCTTCCGCTGAGCTTCATATGCCGCCTCCACGAATTAAAGTTCGCAGCGTCGGGTTGCACGTACTTATCTCCGGGACCGACTCGATGCGAGTGGAAAATAAACTTGTTCGGTGAAAAGAAGAGACCGCAGTATGCGCATTTGATGCATTTAGCGCGTGACGAGTTGTACCTGGTGAATTTTATAAAATTAATTAGTACCTATTGTGAGTCTTTTTTTTTCTAAGATGAGTGAATAGGCTTAATTGGAGTTAAGTGGTTTTTTGTTATTGTCCTAATAGGCAGACGAGCATACGGCCCACCTGGACTTCAGCAATGCCAGGGGCAGAGCCAAGCAGCCCGCTGCCTACCATTAAGTACCCTCCACAAGCCCCATTTGAAGAAGGACATGTCATAGCACTCGGGAAACCCCGTGAAGTGGTTCTCATTCCAAAGCCGGACGGTATTGGAATGAGCACTGCGGATGAACGCAATGGCTCCAGGTAGCAACGGAGGGGGTAATTAATCAATAGACGATTGTTTCAGTGGTTGAGTATCACATATAAATTCGTATTTCGATTGGAGATCACAACGTGAAAGGCCCTTTGAAGACACAAAATCGAAATCTCAATATACTTTATAACCTTCAACGTCAGAATTGCCTTTCCCTATCTTTTTAATTATAACATTTAGTAAACAAAAATTGACATTGGTATTCCGCATCTAGTCTTATATCTTATACATGTGTCGTTCCTATATCAACAACGCAGAGGAAGATCCACATACCTTGCCGGCAAAAATGCACCGCGGCAGCCCCAAGCGCACTCGTGGTGGACAGCGAAAGCGAAGTCATCAGGGAGTCGCGGGGGAGCGTTGTCTCCTAAAAACGACTTGCACAGTCTCTCTGCTTCCCGGCGGGTTATCATTCCTGTACACACACTTGAATTTAAAGTGTTTAGGTCATAAAATCATTAACATTATATTAATACGTGAAGCAAAAACTTTGTATCCCTTTTTACGAAAACTGCGCGAACGGAGTAGTATGAAATTTCCCACACTTATAGAGAACATAGAGAAGGAGCGCAGAGTGCTAATTTTTTTTAATGCATAAAAAATACATTAAATCAATAAAAAAACATTACACACACTATCATGTATTTGACACAACACATACATTTAAATATACTCTTTGTATATAGTGAATTGTCAAACTTTTGTTATTGTTTAAAGTCTGTGGTCATATTGAGAATAGATTAATATTGTTTGTCTTTAATATTATTTTAAGTGTAGTTTTGATGAAATCTGTGATATATATCTGTGGGTATAATGGTGTTTGACAATAGAATCATAATAAGTTTAAACATAAAATTTCAATTAGGTAATTATAGTCGATTTTCGATTACTGTGCGACCACTACCGACTAAGTACGTATCTTTTTGATTAGGATTTCTAATATCGCGCTTAAAAAAGATGCCTTTAGTACTCAATTATTAAATACACAAAAAGAATTAAAATCTATTAAGACATTAACATACCACAACGCCGAGATGAGACCGGCATCGCTCCAGCTCTTCGTAATATCTCTAGTTGCACTGGAGTGCATTGGACACAGGTGATGCCCAGTGCGACCCTCCGATTGTGGATCTCGTTGTACGAGAATTGTTTGAGCAGGGTATTCGAGATCTGGGCTAGGCAAAGTCGTTCTATGCCTTCGATCACTAAGGAGACTATGGGCACGCCGTAAAGCAGGACCGTACTGACCTAATCATAAACATACTGAATTCAAGAAGGGCTTTAGGAGTATTTTCACTAAATCTTTCCGTCTCTCTCTAAATTGAGCGTTAGAAGAGGATGAACGTTCGACCAAGCTTCTGCCAGTTTTCGTACTCTAGTACTTTTTGTATCTCATTGACCATCCACTGGGGCTCATAGATCTTAAAACGTGAACAACATCGTTGAGACGTACATTTCAAATCTCAATTGTTTTGCGTATCAGCTGTCCTGCTTTTTAAACAGCAACCCGCAACTGCTTCGCGGCAGAAATAGACCGGATGGTGATAGCTACCCGTGCGAGCTCACAATACTCCCACCACTAGTACCCAATTGTTTGAATTAATGAAACGTATAATTTCTAAAACCATTTCGATTTAAAACTATTGGAAAGATGGGACAACCTCTTAAAAACTGTGACTTAGAACTCATGACACAAGTGGCGGTGTTTACTTTGTTGATTACTATGGAATTCGTTGACCACTGAACTCCAGGTAGGCTCATCGACTTATCTAAGCAACAACACACTATAAAGATCACTTACTTGATTAGGTTTACTATTCATCTGCAGCGTTTTGTGCTCGGCTCTGGGCTTGAGGGTCTCTCGCGGTGAGATCGCTAGGTTTGTAGCCTCCATTCTGCAACAAAGCATATTTTATATGTTATGTATAAGCCGTTCGCCTCGCAATAGGCCGCTTTGAGTGCTGGACCACAGGGTCCACCTTCGATCGAATTTGGTTTTGCTGAAGAAGCCTTTGTCCGATTCCTATAGCATATGAAAAATTTTAGGTGGAGCCTTAAATCCTGTTCGACTTGCGAACTAGCCCATAGACGTAACACACGGAGTTTCTCGCCGGATCTTCTCAATGGGTCGTAATTCCGATTTGGTGGTAGATTCAGTGAAGCACTGCCCTTGATAGGGCCTATAAATTTTGAATTAAGCAAAACGAACCAAATACATTGTATTTGTTTATCGACAATATTGTCCGGTCGTTCTAAGAATGCCTTCCTGACAGATCGTAATCTAGCTGTAGATGAAGCTTAGAGATAGTCTGAGATAGGAGAAGAATTTAATAAAGCTTCATGTTTATTTGACCTAATACTAAATTATTGTCGTTGTGATATAATATTGTATCAACTTGGGATACATGTAATTTTACTCCAGCTTTGGTATCGGATCAATGGCATTTCTTCTTTACCAGATAACACAATATAATATCGTTCTATTATTGATGTCAACAATATTTATTGACATAGCCATTATTATTTATCTATCAAATAGGCGCAGCCACTCCTACAGATGGGAACACGTACACGGAGGATATAATATAATAAAATTACAGTTATAAATATTTTACGCGCTATTATTGACAGGGTATTCACCTGGATTTTCAGATTAAATGAATTTCAGATGTTACGGCGTGTTGTCAGCGCCATACTATATACCGCCATAACAGTGGTGTGTGGCGCGAAAGTTTAAAAAAAACTCGTTAGATATATTATTCCTAATGTTTGTTACAAGTTCTATGCACATATTATATATTAAAAAACCTAATATGAGTCCTCTACAAGACGTGTTGCCTTAAATGTCCACGCTGCTGAGAGATTGTGTTCATATCATAAGGTTGTTAGAATGAAAATAAACTTAATACATACCAACAACAAAATTCATTTTTCTTAAACACTATACAAAAAATAGACTACCACTAGTGGCTATGTTTTTTTTTATGGCCTTTGTAGGCAGACGAGCATACAGCTCACCTGATGGTGAGTGGTTACCGTCGCCCATGGACTTCAGCAATGCCAGGGGCAGAGCCAAGCCGCTGCCTACAGCATACAACAATATGCCTACAACATATGTCCACGACACTAAGCCACCAAGTGTGAGTGATTAAGATTTTATTTCTATACTTAAATTTTCCGTATTCTTAGTACAATTGATATTGAATTCTTTGATTAGCGTCCAAATAAATACAACTTAAATGTTAATTAAACTTTAAAGCTTAATTCGTAAGCAGAATTTTCTTGAACTATTTAAATGGAATGAAAAACCCATTAAGCCACTGCATCTGTATTATCCTATTAACGTCAGCAATAATTGTAATGATACTACGCTATTAATAAATAAATCGCTGCATTAAAGCCGCAAATTGCAACATTCACATTTGCCGCACAATATAACCGCGCTGTGTGAGGGAAACACAAGAGGAATTGTAACAGAATTGATCATTTCGCGCCCAAATAGGCAGTTTGCGTGTGAATTTGGCGTATCGAATATCAATTGGCCTTATTGAGGGGCGCGACGAAGAATAGGTACGTGTCACCCCTAATGTTTTTTATTTTTATTTCGCTAGATAGGTGAACGAGCTCGCGACCAAACTGATATTAAGCGGTTACCGAATTTCGTAGACATGACCATTTGAATTATGCAACCCATGTTGAGACATGAGGTTGAAACCTCAATTGTTTATTATAAGGGCTGTCCAAATAAAGAATAAATTAATAAACGATTTTATATATCGTTGTGTAACTGGTTTTTTTTTCACGGTGTCTTCGAATGTGTCAAATCACTGCCTCCCGCAGAAGACTCCTCTCAATCCACATTTGAAGACAGTCAGGGCGTTCAGGAAACACTCCGTCCAGATTTTTAAAATCAAACCCTGTAAACCCTAAAAATAGATAGCACTATCATACTATTTTCTTGTTTTTAACAACAGCTTGTGTGTTTGTCAACCGATTATCTGTTTTCACTTTATTCACCAACTTAAAAAAAAAGGAGGAATATCCATAATTTTTATGTGTTTCATGACCTTATTCCCAGGCAATCAGATTTAAAGTTTTTTTAAAGCTAGTACTTTTGCATGCGAGAGCTAGTGCATGCGAGAGCTAGTGCATGCGAGAGCATGTCGTCCAATTTAAATTATATCAAGTTCTAAGTAGGTAGTCGTTTTTGTGTTATCCATAATAACGCATGTTTAACTGACTTAGATTAAATTAATGATATTCTAATTTTTTTCTTTTGGTCGAGTCAGTTTTCTTTTTCTTAAGATTTTGTATTAATGTTTCAAGACAACAACAGCTCCAGTATTGTCAATAAAATAGATTAGAAACAGTTTTTTGGAACGAAGTTCCTTATGGGAGGATGCGGACGGGTACCCTAACCGGGAAAAAACGTCCGTAACGTAAGATTTTTATTAGTAATGCACACAGTGTACGACTTAACTTTGTAATAACGTACAAAAAATAACATATTTTTTTATCATTCATTGACCACGATCTCAGAGCGTTCGTTTGCGCAATACACTAACTCTTATGCAAACATCCGTGAATGAAGTGTACCACAATAAGTTCGCAAGTTACCGACTGACCGTGGGTTGTTCTGAAACTTCCAGTATTATTTTCTTTATACCTCGAATAGAACTTAAATTTATATTTTTATGATAAGGAACTTCGTTCCTATCCGTTGTCCCACGACACCACAGATCCCTTATTTTTTTATTAATCTGGATTTCTTTCCTATCTATTCGCTGGTAGCCTAAGGGCTATTCCAGCTACGCCCGGACGGTTCAACCTAAGAGAATTTTCTAACACTAGCCCTAGCAAGAGCAGTCTTTCGCAGAATATACCAACCGATCGGAATCGCGACCCACTAAGAAGTAACAGCAAGAAACTCATTGGCCTATTTTTTGTGGGTAAATCTTGAGATGTCAGTAATTCTGGTCGAATTTCGTACTGAACCATAGTAATTTCAATATTATAATACAACACAATATTTTTCTATAATGACAAACAGATAAAGTATGATTAACATATTTTACAGATTCGCCTCATTACAGTATTTCACGAGAAATCGTCTCCTTGTATGTGACAAAAAAAACCTACTAAGTATATAAATTTCTGGTAATATGAATTTCATTATTTAAAATTCAATAAATAAAAGACAACTAAAACGACAGTAAAAATAATTGAGTATTATATTCACTAAAACAAATAAATAAATAATAAATTAATTATTCTTCCAAAAAAATAACTAGAATTCTATGAAACAAACAATTGCATATTTTACTGACTTATATCATTTGTACAATCAAGTTCTCTTCACAATATTTACGACTATCATTTTAATCCCTAAACATGTCATCACTTTAAAATTGATTGATCGCCACTCTAGACAGCCCTAACTTGAATCAACATAGGGTCGCCCCGAGCCGGTTACCAGACGTATCATTATAGGGCGTGATTAGTTAATTTGTGTCGCCCTAGGGGTTGTGCGAATGGACCCGTTTCCACTGACTTTATGAATTGTTAAGATAATACTGTTTTGTATGGTTTAGAAGGGATAACTTTTCAATGACTTAAAGGTTGTTTTAGTTATATATTTTTTTCAGTTTTTTTAAAGCAATAACAGTATAGTCAACCAGTAAATTAATACGTTGCTAATTTAATAAAAACGAAAATTGACGAGCATGCCGTCCATCTGATGGAAATTGTTTACGCCTGTCCACATACACCGACAATGTTGTGAGGCTCCGTCGCATCGCTACCTACTATAAAATACAATGTTTCTAATCAAAAATATTTGTGAAATGTACGTTCTGTTGAATACGTTTTTTTTTTTTCTAAACAAATATGTAACACTAAACTAAATATCACTTTGAACACCCTTTACAAGGCATGATATAGTATGCAGCTAAGTATTATTGTGGGCCCGTATTCGGACGTGTAAATGTTATTGTGGAATGGTTAGCTCGCTATTTTGTAACCAAATAGCGTCGAACGCAATGAATTTTCGTTCATTCGCTTCTAAAGTGCTTTAAAAGGTTTGCACGTTAATCACTACATAGTATAAAACAAAGTCGCTTTCTCTGTCCCTATATACCTATGTATGCTTTAATCTTTAAAAGTACGCAACGGATTTTGATGCGGTTTTTTTAATAGATAGAGTGATTGAAGAGGAAGGTTTATATGTACAATAACATCCATTAAATAGTGGAGAAATCAATAATAAATTACAGTTTCCGAAGCAAAGCGAGGGCGGGTCGCTAGTTAAAACTGAAGCGCTGATTGTTTTCTATAGTAAAGTCTATAAAAAAATATGATGCTTGAATAGAAATCACATGCTATTTATAAAAAAATCTTACGAGTATCAATATTATCAAACTAATCATTTATTTCAAATTTCCTTATAATTTACTGAAAACAAATATACACGAAGAAAACGTAATATAACGTGTTAACAGTATTATTTAATTCCCAAGGTCAGCAGCAGCCCTACGCGTTAGGGTCGACTCCGCCGATATAATTGATTACATTAAACGACATTATGTTAATGATTGCATATGTTACATTTTTCTATGGAGTATTACAACGATCTGTGGTGATTTCTGACTTTATTATTTATATTTCTATTAAGTTTGGATACGAACTGTTTGAGTTAATTGTGTACTTTTATTGCTTTATATACAGATACAGATACAAATAGATACCCATTGTTTGATTTCGATTGAGTAAACCATTCCAGTTTGAAACGTGAGGCAGACGTCATAATTGAAATTTGAGACATCA